GCCACCCTCCTCGCCCCCCCCCCCCCCCCAGCAGACCAGGGAGACGCGAAGCGGCTTTTCTCGCTGCGGAGGACGCGGGCGGCAGGACCACGGCGCGTCTCGGCAGTCCCGCCGCCCGCGTCCTTCGCGGCGAGAAAAGCCGCTCCGCGTCTCCCTGGTCTGCTGGGGGAAAGCGTCTCCTACACCGCTGGAGGCGGCGACAGTGAGGGAGGATCCCTGCACTAGATGCACCCCCCCTCCGGTCGTAACTAGAGGTCCGACTTAAGTCGGACTGACGTAACCCGGGGACTGCCTGTACTCAAGTCCTGAGGGTGCCAAACCAGGGAACTCCTACCTGTACTGAAATGTATATTGCTTGCTTGCATCCAACTTACCCACTAAGTCAGATTAAGAAGTCAGGTTACTGACAGAACAATTATTTACCATTCCTCCAATCTCAAACCTGATCAGTAATGATTTTATTCCCAAGTCATGGACAAAAATATTAAATTATATAAAAATTCCCTAGTACCCCAATAGTAACATAGACACTCAACAATAATTCAACATTTCTATGTTAAGTTCTTTAAGTTTACTATACAAGAAAGCTATTCGGAACTAGAAAAAAATCCAAAATCTTGAAAACATTATGCGGATTAGTACTGTCCATCTTATAGATGGCAACGAAGAACTTGATACTTGGGATGGAAGAACTAAGATGCTCTTAAGATACCTTTGCACTCTGTGGCTGCTCCGGAGTAGTTTGGACAGCCCTGACAACTGCCCTACTTACTGCCGCTCCCCTGGCTGCCCTGTGAAAAGAACTACTCAGACTCTCTGTAGTCCTGTATACTGCAGCCATGACTCCCCTGGATCTTCTGTGTCCCAGTTCAGGGACTTAGAAAAAGAGGAACAGCTTTGTGGTTTTCACCTTACATACATAAATTCCACCTTTCAAACTACTTTCTATACAACTTTGTGGTACATATGCAAGCTTAACCAGTGATGGTCTATTTAAATAAAGAATTCCACTCAGTTCACATAGGCGCATTTGCCAGCATGCCAATGGAACTTGGGGAAATCACTGTTTTAATCTTTTAAAATAATTTAATGTACATTTGCAGATTTGGGAATTCCCTCCTCCTCTCTTGTAGCTATAAAATCAAATGCAATTGTCAATGGCCCAATAAAACTACCTACAGACTTATAAAATGCATTCTTGCCAAATTTCATATTGCCATGACATTTTACAGATGTGCTAGATCTCTTTTTTAAAAATTAAAAAAGACAATGTTTGTGAAATAATTCTTAGCAGTAAAACAGCAATAATTCTATTTCTGTGCTTAAACTCATGTATTTTTTTTTTTAAATGAAACTTTCAGGACAAAAATTCTCCTTGATAAGAATAAATGTATATGTTTCAACCAAAAATTAAATTTTTGAGCAAATTAAAATTAATTGAAAGTGACCCATTTTATTCTAAAAGTTTGGTTAATCTTAACTATGGGCACTCCATGAGTGGTGCTTAGTACAGAAGGTGGGCTGAGGGAGAGATTGGGAGAGAGGAAAACCTCAAAAAACAATATAGATACAGTAAAAGTATATTTCACAAAGAGCCCTCTGCCCTTTCTGGTCTCCATCCAACCTGTTGTACCTTGAAGGAACATTACAGCAAGTATTCACCAGTGAAGTACTGGACAGAACTTTTTGACAGGTTATGCAACAACTTTGCCCAAAACAGCTATAAAAAAGTTGTAAGAGTGATAATAGATGGCTTCTTCCTCAGAAGCACACTGTGCCCTTAAATGCTCCAGCTCCTACCAACCTGGGAATAAGAAAGGAAACAAGTAATTGAATTCTAGGGAGGAGCTATTACCAAACATCCATTTACCATACTATATTAAAATTCAAAGACAAAACCCAACAAAGACTATTATATACACACACTCTGGCACCTTCGAAAATTTCAGATGATTATATATTGCTGTAAAATCTTAACGGTTGTACACCTTACCATCCTTGAACCAGCTCTGTGTTGAATGTAGACATGTTAGCAAAAGTAAGTGGATAATGTAGTAGGCAGGGTGACATCCACACAGAAAACAGAAACATGGCATAATATAAATAAATGTTCACACACATCAAATTGCCAGATAAAAAACTAAAACATGAGAGGGAGTGGGGAGGAAAAGCAAACAAACAAACCTGGCTGCCACATTCTGTTGAAGTTGGGATCCCCCTGAAAATTACTATGGTTGTTTGGGCCAGGTTCTATTCCAGAAATATCCTGTCCGTTTGGCATCATTCCCTGTTGTTCCACCACATTCTGCTGCCCCGAAGCTTCCCGTTGGGCAATCCATGCCTGAGCTAACGCAGCCCAATCAATCTGGCCTAAAACAAATTCAGAAAACTTCATTTCAGTATTTAAATTTGCAAAATACAGCTCTACTAGTGATAAATATTTTCTCTACATAAAAGAATCACTTGATTTATCTACAACAATTACCTTGAAGAAGACTCATGGCATATACCGGTAATTAAATTTTTATTCCAGATTGTAAATATGTCAATGTGTATATGAATACTGTTGCAATGGAGTGTCTTTACATATATATTATACTATATATCCCGTGTTAGTTTTTCTATCATTACCTGAATGAATGGTAGTTTTACTCTTGTTGAGAGTAAAGAATACAAATTCAGATTTAAGAAGATGTAAACTGCAAATTTTAAACTTCATGAAGTTGAGTTTAAGGAAAATATTGTAGTCTGTGTTAAAGTTATCTTTTATCTTCTTATAATGGTCTTTTGAGTTCCTACTCCTTCCCCCCCCCCCTTTTCTTTATAACTCACATTTTTACCTTGTCTACTCTCCCAATAATGTTTTCTTAATTATTGTTTGTTCTGCTTTGATACCGGACTTGCTTTTTTTTGTTCCACATTTGTTCTCCTACCACCACTCCTTGCATTAAAGGAAGAGACCAGAACAGGAACTAGAAATAACTGAAATCGTGCCACGAAACAGCAGACAATAGATATTAGGTACTTCAAAAAGTCTTCAAAGTTAAAAACTACATATTAATTACTCCTGATTTTTAAGTGATCTATGTTCAGATGCATACAAGTAAGAGCACAGAGCTCCATTTGCTAGTCATCTAGTTTAAAATGAACATTTTCCATTATTCATGTATTTGTTGCCATACACTGTTGTGTTATTCTTATTTCATATATTATTTATGGAGGACATAAGTTTAGCTGTAAGAACCTTTTGCAGCCACATATATTTTGAGCACTTCTGCTTTTCTACAATTCCTATCTGTACCAATTTTTGTCCTGTACAACACTAAAATGAGTTATTTTAATAATTATACAGTGCCTTAAATCTGAAAAGCACTTTATTTTATAGAAACACATGCACAGGAAGGTTCAGGACTTGTTTGTGGTAAAGATTTAAATAGATGCCAGTTCTCCTGGTCCATAGTCCTCCAACCCCACAAGGCTCACTGTGGGCAGGAGGCAGCAGTCCTGCAAGCTGGGGGCTGCTCCAGCTGGGTTGGAGTGGACATCCCCTCCTCCCCGCCAGGATCCTCATTAAGTGCTTAACCAGTTAAACCTAACCATTTAACCGATTAACTAATTAAACGGGATTTTACATCTCTATTTGAGCAGGGACTGTCTTATGTGTTTGAAAAGCATGCTGTATACCATTTGCATTATTGTAACCAAAATAAATATTTGTTTACACAAAACAGCTTTCACTGAAGTGATTTTTAAACACATCTGCATGCACACTTTACCACACAGGCATTTTCAAATGCTAGGTTTCTCATGACTGAGTTTGGCCAAAAGCCAAAGTTTCTGAAAAGAAAGACCAAGAGACTTCAAGAATCACTAAGGTGACAAAAATCAAGAATACAGCAGGCTAACTGTTGGGAATAGACTAGGGGTGGGCAATAAAGTGGCCTTGGGCTGCCCCAGAAGGGGCTGAGCCTCGGGCAGAAGGCATGGGGCCAGGAGACTTCTAGTGCTCCTTCCCGTCATAAATCCTGATTGGCCTGGAGTGGGGAAGCATGTTAATTTCTGCTCCCTCCCCCCCACCCTGGTGCCTAGAGAGAATCGCCAGCTGTTTTAAAACAGCTGGCCGTTCCCTCTAGGCACCACAAGGGGAGGAGACCTTGTGCTTTCCCCGCCCCAGGCCAATCAGGGCCTGGGGAACGTGGCAGCTAAAGAGAGCTGCCAGCTAGCAGTTCCCATGGATGCTGCGCACCCATCAGGGGAGAGACTTTGTGTGTTCCCCTGTCCCCAGGTCTCGATTGGCTGGGGGAAGGGGGAGGAGAGAGAGAGAGGACGCGGGAATGGCAGGGGGGCCATAGACTGGATCCACCAGCTTGGTGGGCTGGATCCAGCCTGCAGAGGCCCCTTTGCCCACCTCTGGAACAGACTATAGTCTGTCAATACTATACCAATCCAAGACAAATCAATTCGCTTACTTGTACTGTGCATATTAAACATCAATAGATTAAAAATTAAAAAATAAAAATTCTTATAAGCATCGTTGTGTCTAAGAATCATTATGGTCTATTTGTTCAAAAGAGCATCAGAAATCCCATTTTGAAATAGCTGATATAAGAAAGGAGTAACCAAAATCCTGCTATAATCCAAGGACTAAATTTCAAAAATTAAACTAAACTGTATTTTGACAGCACAAATCTAGTTATTTACTTACTTGGATCTTGCTGATGTTGGAAGGACTGCATCCACTGTTGCTGGTTCAAAGGCCATTGCTGCCAAGGCTGTCCACCTTGATCCCACATCTTTAACTCTATATATTCTACAATTAATAAAAAATGATTTTAGTTTTGAAGTTATACTCATGAAGTTTTACAAACGTGAGCCCACTACACATTGCACAGAGACATTTAATTCTTGTAAAGCTATGCTGACAAAGCAATGCTGGTTTAAGGAGGTTAAGAAGCGAGTAATTGGTAACTGTACTGCCTACATGATTGGTCAATAAGGGAAGGCTCTCTGTGCCAGATTGCACCAGGTCTGGGAGCTACCCCTGCTGTGGCTCTGCAGTTTAAATGTAGTAGCAGCTGAGGGTGCAGGCAGCCCAGCTTCTATATTTGAACTGCAGAGCCACAGAGGGGTAACTCCCAGAGCTGGTGCAAGCCACGGTTCCAAGACTACTGCAGCTCTGTATTTTAAATGTAGTAAGAGCCACCAGGCAGAGCCATGGAGGGGCTAATGCCCAGGGCCAGAACGAGCCAGGAATGAGTAAGTCCTGGTTTGTGCTGGCTATAGGACCACTGAAGCTCTGCCTCCCTTGCCCCCTCCCTCTGTGCACTGCAGAGACGGCACTGGCTCCTGCTTCCCTGCCCCCTTGCTTCCTCTAATAGAGGCAGCAGTGGTGGGGTGGGGAGAAGGGGTGCCAGCTCCCCAGAGCTGGTGATCAGGTTATCAGGCTTTTAAGCCAGTTCCTCCCAGCACTGGCTTCTGCAGCAAGAGGGGGGCAGGTGAAGTCAGCATATGCAGAGAGCCAGCTTAAAAGCTGCCTCCCCATGTGCATGGCTCCTACTACCCCCCTCGCACCTGTGCTGCTGCCTCTCTATCAGAGGAGGCAGATCAGGTGCTTGTGGGGAGCTGGTTTAAAAGCTTGCTCCCCACAGGCACTGGCTCCTGCTTCCAGCCCCGCCTCACTGCCTGTGATACAGTGATAGCAAGATGGGGATGGTGGTAATGCATTTCGTCAACAGGATTAACCAATACGCCCAGGCTTATCAGTTAATCGTGTACACGCGGACATCCATAACAAGGAATGCTGTTATCAAGCGACAAAGAAAGGTTCTGATGCTGAAAGCTGATCTGCACGGACTTTACTGGGGCTCCAGACAGACAACAGATTTTACCCACATAAAGTAACTTGTAGAAGTAGGACCAAAATGCATTGTATTCATGTAATTACATATAGTATAGGTAAGAGAAAATGCAATTTTGGAAGCTGTGAAACACTGTGCAGGCTTTGAACAAGACCAGATCAATTTTGAGATTATAAAAGGGATTACCAGCATGAATTTATTTTACTACTTAAACCACCTTTTTATTACAATAGGGCTACTCAACACACGGCCCGTGGGTAACATGCGGCCCACAGAATTTGTTTGCGGCCCGCAATGGTCTTCTGTTGATATGCATTTTAGTACAGCCAGTCCCCAAGTTGCAAACGGTCGACTTATGACCGTTTGCATTTATGACCAAAGCTGTCGTAAATGGCGGACCCTGAATTACAAATGCGATCTGCACTTACAAACAGCGTGGTCGCTTGTAACTCTATGGGGTCTCACATATGAACAAACCAAATTATGACTAATTGCTTGGTCCTTAACCAATTCTTAAGTCAGGGAGAGGCGGTAGTTCAATTCCTGGACTGTCATTGCTCATTAAAGTGCTGTCACATGGGTGGAAATTGGGTAAATATTGTATTTTACTAATATCAACAGACCTGACTTAAATGGGGCCTGTGTGTTGTGTAGTCTTGCCTTAATCTTTGTGTTCTTTCACACTGACAGGCACGAAGCTATTTGCATATATATTTGCATGTATATGCAACCACACTTAAGATGTGGCCCTCGGCATGAGCTGTGATTATCATTCTGGCCCCCCGAGCTTACAAAGCTGAGTAGCCTTGTATTACAGGAGTAAAAACAAAAATGTCATAGTTGCAGTAAGATACTGTACTATTCCATGGCACCACTTTAGGACATACTAGACTGCTAATAGCACAAAGACAGTGCACAAGTCAATAGCATCTTGATTAGGGATGTAATATCCCATTTAATTAGTTAACTGGCAAAACTTTACGTTTAACTGGTTAACCAATTAAACAGGGGCGAGCTGGATTGTCCCCCTTGCCAGTGGCAGGGGGCCCGCTCCAGCCCCGTGGGGCCCACTGCAGGCAGGGGGCTGGAGTGCCCCTGCCTGTGGCATGCTGAGCTGGCTGGCATGAGCTGCTCCAGGTGGGCTGGAGCAGCTCCCTGCCTGCAGCAGACCCTGCGGGGCTAGAGCAGCTCCCATAGGTTATCCATAACTTGTATGGTTGAGGGTTACTGGTTAACCATTCACATTCCTTGATCTGTAAATAAGAAGCCACTTCGTTTTTGTGATAACGGAAAGACAGAAAAAGTTACTTGAAGGGTGGATTGATTTAAATCATTGATTTAAATCACTAAAAAAATGATTTAATTCAAGTTTACCACTGATACTCATATTTCTTCAAACAATGGTGCAATTCTGATCACTAAAACATGTTAAACTTACAGCTCAATATAGCATTTTACCACAACTAAGAGGATATACTTCTGTGCGATATTTCTAGAAACTTGATTATTAATTTAGGAAATATTATATAATACTTATTACCTGTGTCAAGCTGCAGATGCAAAAGCAGTACATTAGGAATGGAAAGAACTAAATCATACAAACACTTATATTTAAGATTTAGTTCAATAAAATATTTCACATTTGCAATTGCAGCAGTCTCCTAAGTTGCCGGCTAACAGCTGTCCTTAAAATTTTTAATTTTCAAATTTTATTAACTCAACAAGAGTCCTCAGAACACTAAATGTATGGTGAAACAAAATATAGGACTATGTAGCACTTTAAAGACTAACAAGAGTGCTACATAGTCCTGTATTTTGTTTCAGCTACACCAGACTAACACGGCTACTTTTCTATCACTATTCTAAATGTATGGCGTTCTTAAAACTTTTAATATTCTCTCTCCTATTCTGCACTCCCAGTGTCATTTTGATCAGATCTGAATCCAAGTTACCAAAAAATTAAGACTGACTTAGAGTGCACTTAATTTTGGAATAAGCCCCATAGAAAACAAGTATAGGATGGGGCTCCTTTTGAGAATGATGGGTTATGCTGAAGTGAAATAGAGAACAGATCCTCCACGTGATGTGGTGCTGTAGAAATATACCACTGGGAGACTATGGTCATCAAGCCAGTCTGGCTAGCAACGGGAGGATCACCTCAGTGTAGGAAAGTATTTTGTTACCAAAGATCCAGCATTTTGTAAGACCTGGTAATACTGTGAAGTGACAAGATTTTAAGATTATAGCTAGCAGTTAGTTAATCTGAAGCAAGTTATCTATTTTATCTGAAACAGACAATTAAAATAAACCCAATTCCAAAATTCCATGTGAAGAATATATCCAGAATGTGAAGTTGGGATGTAAAATCCCAATGAACCTAAAAGTAACATTTAACCTGTTAGCTGCTTAAGTTCAAGAATATATTTCCCTTCCAAAGAGAAACAGTGGAACCCCTTTGCGAAGGAAGTAAATAGCTGGAAAATACAGTTCAGTGTACAAAGAGATTCTGGGAGCTTGAAGCTGAACATCTCTCTTGCTGGCTACATTCAAATGTTAAGCAAGACACTTTCCCTCTAATAGAGTGGTACTTCAGTTTGGCATTTAGCAAAGGAGTAACTGGATATTAAAGGTTCAGGAAAGAATTTGAATTTCCTATGTGCCTACCTAGAAATCTGGTGCTGTAAGTAAGGATGCTAGATATAGAGTAATTGAATAGTCATGTAACCGCATGAATTCTCATGAGTTACACGACTATTTGGCTGCCGGTCCTGGGGACTATCAATGTGCTCTGGCCCCATTCCTGGGGAGACCCCTGCCACCATGTGCTGCCAGGGAGGAGCTGGTCTGTGAGGGGAGCCAGTTTAAAAACCAGCTGCCAGCACAGATCAGCTGCCTGTTGCTCCCCTGTCTGAGGGGCAGAGGGAGACTGAGCCTCCCAAAGACAGATCCTGCTGAGGGAGGGTTAGAGCAGTGTTTCTCAACCTTTTTTTATAAAGCACCCCCTTTTTAAAAAAAAAAAAAAAAAAAAACCCTGTAAGTACCCCCTTTTGAAAAAAATAACTAGTAGCTACAGTTTTCAGAGACACACAATTTTTTTCTACCATCGCAACACATATGTTTGAACAACTTAATTACAGCCAGGCAGATGATGAAAGTTTTGGATATAAAAAGTACAAAAATAATAAAGCGCTGTAAAACTTACAACAAAAATTCAGTTTTCTCCAAATTTCAGTTGTGTTGAAGAACCCCCCCCCCCTTCTCTCAAGTACCCGTAAGGGTACTTGTGCCACTGCTTGAGAAACACTGGGTTAGAGAGCGGAAGATGCTGCTGCAAAGCAGCCTGTTTGTGGCGACCCAGGCTGGCTGCGGACAGAAGCTGGTCTGGCAGCATCCCATACATGGGAAGTGGGAGCTAGGCGCCCCCCCCCCACCCACAGGCCAGCCTCTGTCCACGGAGAACTCAGATCCCCCGTAGACAGGGGATGATGCCGCAAAGCAGCTTCTGCCCTTGGCAGGTCCAAGCTCACTGTGGACAGAGACTGTTCTGTGGGATACATAGCAGCCTCTATGGGAAGTCTGGGCACACGGCAGCCTCCTCCTCACAACTGCCTCTGATGGGGGGTGGAGGCGGGGGGGAGAAGGGCAGGCAGCAGATGCAGCAAGGGGGGAATGTGTCTAGTTGAAAAGATTAACCAATAAGCCAAATACATGTGTACAAGTTGACTATACATTGATACCCGTAGCTGTAAGTGTAATGGCATGTCTAGTGCTTTCCTATGGCTCAATTAACTCAACATCTATGGCAGATTATTGGAGCCAAGCACAACTGGCAAAATTACAGTGGGGACTTACCCACCATACAGCCAGCTCATTAGAGAGGGAAGCACAGAGATTACTTAAAAGACACCTATGTGCATCTCCCCCCAACATAGCAATGTGCTCTCTTCAGCCACAGCCAAAAACAATGGTCACAATATCCTATATAAAATAGTGATAGAAATGTAGCCATGTTAGTCTGGTGTAGCTGAAACAAAAAACAGGACTGTGTAGCACTTTAAAGACTAACAAGATGGTTTAATAGGTGATGAGCTTTCGTGGGCCAGACCCACTTCCTCAGATCAAATAGTGGAAGAAAATTGTCACAACCATATATACCAAAGGATACAATTTTAAAAAAATGATCACAACGAAAAGGATAAATCAAATTTCTGAACAGAAGGGGGATGGAAAGGGAGGGAAGAGGGGGAGGTAAATGTCTGTGAGCTAATGATATTACAGGTGATAATTGGGGAAGCTATCTTTGTAATGGGTAAGATAGAGTCTTTATTCAAATTTGCGTGTAAAGTGTCGAATTTAAGCATGAATGACAGTTCAGAGGATTCTCTTTCAAGTGTAGTCTTAAAAGGCCTTTGAAGCAGGATGCAGGTAATCAAGTAATTGAGACAATGTCCTTTCTGGTTGAAATGGCAAGAAACTGTTTTTTCTTTGTGATCCTGTCTGATATCTGTTTTGTGGGCATTGATCCTTTGGCAAAGTGTCTGAGATGTTTGTCCAATGTACATAGCAGACAGACATTTTCGGCACATGATTGCATAAATTATATTTCTGAATGCGCAGGAATGTGTGTTCTTGATCTTATAACTCACTTGGTTAGGTCCAATAATGGTATCAGCAGAGTGAATATGTGGACAAAGCTGGCAACAGGGTTTGTTGCAAGGGAAGGTACTAGTGTGGTATGTCCTGTGGTTGTTGGTAAGAATCATCTTGAGGTTAGGTAGTTGTCTATAGGAGACTATGGGTCTGTCTCCCAGAGACAGATTATACGGTTAACGATTACATGCAGGCTCCTGGCCGCACTCTGCATCAGCGGGGTGGCAGCTGGCTCCCCAGGAGCACGGCCAAGAGCCGTCATGTGCTTGGAACTGCCTTAAAAGCCAGCTGCTGCCTGGCACTGCTGCCTCTGTCTTAGAGGCAGCAGTGTAGAACAACAGCCTGTTCTACAGGAGCAGGGATGCAGGCGGGAGCCAGTGCGTGCTGGGAGCCAGCTTAAAAGCCGTTTCCTGGTGTGCATTGGCTCCCAGGAAGCCAGCTGCAGCCTCGCGAAGCTGCCTCTGTAACAGAGGGCAAAAAATGGACAACTGCACTGTCTTATATGCATTTTCTGATGTTTGGTGAGATAAAGATGAACACACTCAGGTAATTTCAAGTCACCATAACCTGCCATATTTCTTCACCTGTCTGTGGATTACATAACCTCACAAATCTGTGACTAATGTAACAAACATATCAAAACTCTTCTTAAATTCTTATATAGATGATTACATTGATATATAAACAGCTGCAGGACTGTAAGTTTACACAAGATTTTTTTTAAAAGTTGTGGTAAAAATTCTACTCAATTTAGAAAACATTCAGAAAAAAATTGATGGGTGCACAAAGAAGTGAAAACAAGACATCCCAATTGAGAGAACTGGCACTGGATTTTTCAAGAGATCATCTAACATACTGCATTTCTGAATAGTACGATCAGTCTATTTTTAGACTGTAATATGCTTCCTGAAGAATCTGTTTTCTACCGAAACCAAGCATACTGATGAGGTACACTGCTAGATACATAAGTAATATCTGTGCACCAAAGAAGGGAACTCTTACAATACTTGGCTAGCAAAATAAATGTAAAACCCATCCAAGGCCCAAGGCAAAATGTAACCTGTCAATAGTAACCTTATGAATTCATACCTGATTTGCCAACCCCGGAAGGAGAGAAAGAAACTGGAGGCACCTGCCCCTACAAAATCTTACTTTGCATATGGATGAACCAAATCAAAGGCCTAACCTGCTTGAAACTGGGGGTTTCATTTTAAAGCAAGAACATGTTACATTCCTCCCCATCCTGAGCGGAAGGCTTTTATTGTGTATTTCAGAGAAGACAATTACAAGCATGATAGTAACAGAAGAAATAATACATTAGACACTATGAGGTTACATTTCTCCAAATCAGACAGCTCCCAGTTTTCAGTGGAACAACGGCTACATAATTAAGGACCCAAACCCTCAGTCCTTATTCACAGCAAGCAGTACATCACTAAATCCTTACACATCAGGGTAATTATGTTCCTAGAAATCTGTGTGTATACGAAAATGCACAATATAAACTAAGAATAAACAGGAAAAACAGTATTACATTCCCATAAATGATAAAATTGTCAAGTTGGGGGCCTAAGGGCTGGGTGTGTGGGACTTGGGAGGGATCACGGGGTACCAGTTCTGGGGAGTGCTCACCTCAGGGGATTCCGTGTGTCTGCAGGAGGCGAAGATGTGACCAGGCGGCTCTGCATGTTGCCTCTGCTCATAGACAACACTCCGGGAGGGAGGGGGGCAGCGCATAGAGCCACCCTGGCCACATCTCTGCCAGGAACAGCAGGCATGAGGAGCACTTTCTAGTGCCCCATCTCCTTGCTCTGAGCTCCCTCTATACCCAAAGCCCTCTATCATGAGCATGCTACATAAAAATAGTACACACAACATAAAAGTAATAGGTCACTAAAACAAAACTATGATATGTAAAAAATGGGTGCTACATAAAGATTTACTGTATTCATACACGATGAGAAGTACTGTGGCACCTTATAGACTAACAGATTTATTGGAGCATAAGTTTTCGTGAGCAAACATCCACTTTGTCAGATGCATTTTGACCACGAAAGCTTATGCTCCAATAAAGCTGTTATTCTGTAAGGTGCCACAGGATTTCTCATTGTTTATGCAGATTCAGACTAACACGGCTACTCTTCTGATGCTTGTGTTCACACAAGCAGTCCCGCTCCATGGAACTGCAAGTGTAAGTATTACTCACTCAACAGGAGTAAAGATTGAAAGCTTGAGATCTGATTACAGCATTTAGAAAAGTTACATCTCTGCTGAGCTGTTCAACTAAGTATAGGCATTTTGCAAATTATAATATTGGTAATACTGCTCCTTAGGAGCCATGAATGTAATGATCATCAGAAGTGAAGATGCAACACAATATATATTTCATATTAAGCATTTAAAAGAGTTATCCTGTTAATTTACCAGTTATAGAATCCTAAGGCTGTTACTGAAAAAAACCTCACTCGTAAGTATTCATGCGTTGGTCATTAGCGAACCAAATTAACACTACTTCACTGCATCAACAAGTATTACAGTGCTAGCAGCTGAAGCAGCTCTCTTTAAGCTAAAAAAAGAAGGGTTTGTGTTGTTCCATCAGGCAGACCATGAACCTAGCTCTACTGCTACTCACTGTCTTGCAAGTGAACAAGGCACAGCCCGAGGCAGAACCGTCTCTGCGACCTAAACACAGCACAGCCTGAGTGTATGCAAACCAGTAACCAGGATGGCTCAACTACGGTTCAGAAGCAGCCCTGGACACAAGGGGCAGGTCTCCCACGCCTACAGGCACACGGCAGAGACATCAACAAAGGGTTTCCCTTCCCGCTTGCATAGCACCGTGTGCCACGCGCTCCAGCCCATTGGGTTCTGCCCAAGTTGACCACTCACGCATGCGCAATACGGGATTATGAGACCCGTCTCCATCAGTATCTTGTATATCCCCCCGCCCACCCTCAGGACAGCAGCGCATGCGCACCGCGAGAAACTGGGGACCACTTTCTCCAGTCACCTCGGTTGTACCCCAGCTCCCCCTCGCAGCGCATGCGCAAGTGCCAACCGCCACGGGGGTGCAAGATGCTTTCCCTCATCGGAACGTAAATCCCCCCCAAGAGCAGAGGGAGCCTCGCGCTAGCCACGAGCTACTCGAACAACCGCGCCGAGCGCCCTGCAGCCCCTCCCCCCTCGGCTCCGCGGGGCGGCGGTGCCGGTCGCTGCAGCCCCCGGTCTCTGCGAGAAGCGCCGCCCGCCCAGTTACTTACATGCGCCCTCTCCTCCCCCCGCCGGTCACAAGCGGAGCTGCGACGTCTCCTTCACCGCCACCACCGCTTCCTCCCCCCTTTACTCCTCGTCTTCACGAACAAGACAACATGGCGCCCGCTGGCTTTCACCCGGTAGTGAAAAGTGCGTCACTGAGCTGACCGCTTCCTGGGCAGGGTGAACGCTCTCGGCCGCCATCTTTAATGTGGGCAACAGACGGGTCGTCGGCAACGCCTTAGCAATCGCCCTCTTTACTAAGGGGAAAGAGGCTTGCAGCCATCTTTAGCAAGGGCAAGCCCCACGCCTAACCCGCCTACCGAGGGTGACTGCACCGCTGTCACGCCTACAACGTAGGGCGGAGAAACCCCTGTGGCTTCGGCAGCGACCGCAAAACGCTGCTGCTGGGCAACGGGAGGTATCTTGAACTGAGCTACAACAGCCGCCCGATCAACTCCTCAGCCTCTCTCCCCTCCCACTCCATGCTGCTTTCCTACAGCCTCACCTGTGCCCCCTTCCATCTCTGCCACGTGCCGCCCCCTACTCTGTCGCTCCCCCAGCCTCATCACCACACCCCACCCGCTTCATCCAGTCTCCCTCACCGTGACCTGTCACGCTCCTACCTAGCCCCTACACCCCCGCACAACGCCTGTCCTCCTCCCTGATCCTCCCACACTTTCTACCCCACTACATGCTGTACCCGCCCCTCTCCCACAATCCTCATTCCTTACCCACCTCACCCCGACCTATAGCCGCCCTCGCAGCCATCTCACACCACCCCCTTTCTCATAGACACCCTATACCAGCCCCTATTCCTCACCCACACAACCTGTACCATACAGATCCCTCAACCCTCTCCCCAGGTACACCATCAACATTTACCTTCCTCTTTGTATACATTCCCACCCCAACCCATTTCCCTCCAGGCAGACACACTTTTGTCTCATTCCATACTCCTTGCTGCACACAGACCTCTTGCTACATCCTGTATCCTTCTCTTCACTAAAACACACCTCTGTTCACCATAACTCATCCTCTTACACACACATACATGCAACCTCTACACTTCCTACACCCAGACAACCACAACCTATAGCTTTCCTTACATAGATACTCTTGCCATAAGCCAAAGCTGGTGTCATCTCTGGCCTGTTGAATGATGACGTCGCGTGCTGAGAAAATGTGCACTGATGCCCAAATTGCAGATGTCCTGAATAGGGACCTGCACTGAGAAAGCAGCTGACAATGCCTGCGATCTCATAGAACAAATGATCAGGTTAATTGGAGGTGGAGCACCTGCCTGATCATAATACAAAGAATAAAATTCTCTAAGCAGAGAGAGGAAGGCCTCCAAGCCTATTAGTTACCACTATAAACAGCTGGCTAGATCTATAGAATGTCTCAGTCCTTTCTCTGTAGAACACTAGGACCTGCCTCATATCTAATGAGTGAAGACATTGCTCCTCTATTCACATGCGGTTTCAGGCAGAAAACCAAACTGAAAATTGCTTGACTGCAATGGAACTGTGAATCATTTCCAGGAGGAAAGAGATTGCAGGTGTAAGTGCACCTTATCATTTAAAAAAAAAAATCAAGGTACAGTGGTTCTGATGTGAAACATGGAGCTCCAACAGCCTTCTGACTGACGTGATGACCACTGAGGCGGCCATCTTTTAGAAAGATGTGTTAATGAGCATGTTACTAGCAGCTCAAATGGGGAATACATAAGCTTTGATAAGATGAGGTTTAGGTTCCAGGAAGGAATGGGTTCTCTAATCTGAGGATATAACTGCTAACTCCTTCAGGAAACAGACATCACACAGGAGAAGAGACACCTGGAGTGAAGAATGTGACAGCGAAATTGGGCTCTAGGAAGACCAGATGGAGAACTGCTTCTATTTTGCAAGGTAAGTAACCTTGATAGAGAGCTTCTTACTACCTAACAAAACCAGATCACCTCTTCTCCCAGACTGAGAGCTAAGGTTTGGATGGGGCAACCAACTGTAATCAAGTCTGGATGTAAAGGAAGCAGATGTGGGGCTGCCACCGAAAGAGCAGTGGTGAACTAGCATGGCCTTAGCCATGCTGGAGCTATGAAAATGATTCAGTCCCAGTTGCGCTTGATCTTCATCAGAACCTCATGGACTAGCAGAATAGGGGAAAAGCATAATACAGCTGATTTATCCATGGTAGCAGGAAAGCATCCAAGAGATACCCTGGGCAGTGACTTTGCCATGAACAACACGAGTGGCACTTCCTGTTGATCTGGATAGCAAAGGTGTCTATTAGGGGATTTCTTTAATTGACATGTTTTTGTTACACTATCCCAATTAAATAGTAAAAAAAGTATGGTCTAGAAGGAGTTTTCAGGAACACTTTGTGGACACATCTTAGGGTCAACTACAGTACCTGAAAAACTGGCCAATTGTATGGCTGTCGTGGTGACAACTACCCAAAGTGTGGAAAACTACTCCAGACTTCAGTAATTATTGATTTCTGAGGTGTTTTACTAATCACTTGTGAACATCTGTTAGTACTCAATACTAAAAGTGCAGTTTTCGATGAGAGCATACTCAGGCTAGGTCTACACTGCAGGCTTCTTGCACAAGAACTTCTTGTGTAAAAAATCTTGCACAAGAGTGCATCCACACTGCCATGTGCTTTTGCACAAGAGCATCCATAGCAGTGTGGATGCTCTCTTCCTCAAGAAAGCTCTGATGGACATTTTAACCATAGGGGGTTCTTGTGCAAGAAATTCATTTTGCCTGTCTACACTGCCTTCTTGTGGAAGAGCTCTTACACAAGAGGGCTTATTCCTCGTGGGGAGAGGAATAACTCTTCCAGAAGAAGCCCTGTTTTCCGATGCTATACTGTAAATTTACTTGCTCAAGAAGATGCGTGCAGTGTAGATAGCCGGCAAGTTTTTGCGCAAGAACAGCTGTTCTTGTGCAAGAAGCATGCAATGTAGACACAGCCATATTGTTTGTTCTAGTCTGTCAGTTGGACAGCTGTGTGTGATTTATTTCCTGCCACCACCTTGACAAGAGTAATAGTTAACGAGAGTTTTGGGTTTAAGAACACCAGTAACAGGCCTGGAAAAGCGACTGTATGAGATGGATGCTGGACTCTACTCTGCCTTTAACTAATTAGTCACCAAGATATGGGCAGACATGTACTTCTCGTTTCCACAAAACCACCTCCACTACCATCATGAATTTGATGAAAACCCACAGAACAGTCTGTAGGCTGAATAGGAGTACCATGGACTGGTTGTGTGCGAAGCTCACAACAAATCTAAGTAACCTTTTGTAGTGCTGGAAAATCTATATGTAAAAATAGATATCCTTTAAATCAAGTGCAGTATACAATCCCCATGATCCAGAGAGGAAATTATGGAAGCCAAGGAAACCATGCAAAACTTTGGCAGGGCATCTAGCTGTGGAAGTGGGGCAGGTCTACAATAGGTTTGAGACTACCCTTGGCTTTTGGAATTAGGAAATAATGGGCGATAGAATCCCTTTCCTCTTAAGTTTTGTGGAACCTGTTCCATAGCTCTTTTGACATTTTGGACCAAAATTTGCTTGTGAATTGCATCTGCAGGATTCCTGATGAGTAATAGGAAGGAAGGGTGTGAAATCGGGATAGAAATATGGGTGTACTCCATTTCCACCATGCTCAGTACCCAACAGTTTGTGATGACACGGGACCAGGCATTGATGACATGGCATATGTATCTGAAAAAGGAAAGGTAACAGGATCTGATATACCTGGGACTGGTATGGTGAGCTCAAGGGGCTATCAAAAGGTCCCATTTGATTACTGAAAGGAAGGGAGAATGAGAGACAGTAAGATAAACTCACAAACATTTATTTAAATAACAAGAAAAACAGCTTGGTGATTTTGTGTCTGTTAGGCATTAAAGCCCAGGACTCCTTTCCCTCACAGATAATGATTAAAATCTCTCTCAGTATATTAGAGTGCATCTGTATCTGTGTCTGTCTGCAAGTCCATTTGTTCAGGAACTCTTCCTAAACAGTAAGAAGTAGGGCCACCAAATTTGGTATGCAGCTTCCTCTTTTAACTTAAGGCAAGGTCAGGGTTTGGTTGTGCTAGGAGAACCAGAATGTCACAGGAAAAGACTGTTTTCCAATCATGCAAAGGGAGAGGTTGCTGTTTCCAGGGACACGATATGAAAGTGGTGACTGGGGGGCAGCAGTCAAGGGACCAACAAGGGAGTTACCAGCAGGGCCTGCAAGCACACTGGTAAGTACCGCCCCTTACACAAATTATACATGTGCAGTGCAGGACTGCCTTCTAGTTCGAGATTCAAAGCCCCGCCTCCCATCCCAGTCAGGTATACCTTTCAATCAAAGAGGCCCAGCTTCTTTGCCTCTGTTATTGGGAGCAGGTCCTGCACTCTTTGTGGTTGGCCAGATAAACCACCAATATCCTGGGCTGAGGGTGCATAAAAAGGTGCTTGTATCCTTCCTGTGGGACAAAGTACATCTTTCCATACTCTTGAAGGTTGGTAGTATAGTAGATGGGTTTTGCCAAAGCACCTCGGTGGTGTTTTGGATCATCTTAATGAGCGGCAAAGCAACTCTAGAGGAACTTTCCGAGGAAAGTATATCCACCATGGGGTTTTAGTCGTCAGTAACCTCCTCTGTGACCATATTGTGGTTCTCGGCTGCTTTTTTGGGGAGGTCCTGGTGGGTTTTGGAGCTTATAGTCAACAGCAATAAGGTAGTGCTCATCACTGCCTAGTCCAGCAAGGAAGATGAGGAAGCCTTAAGAGGGATAGTATCCTTCTGATTCCCTGGTGGTAGAGAAGCTGCTGACACTAGTGTTTGTGGTGGTACACCTGGCGCTTGAGGTCCTGCAGCAATATGTTTAAGTGACTTGGGGTATTCCAGGACAACAGATGTTACAGATGGAGGGCACAGGCAGTAGAGACCACTAAGGCAGATCTGGAAACCTGATCCACCCCAGTTGGTAGGCTCACAGTGTCCACAGGGGCCATTTCACTGGGTCTTGCCATTGGGAAGACCAGGACACCATCGCTACCGAGGGTACTTCCCTTTTACAGTGCCGAGACAGGTTCCAGGATCTCCAGTGGTATTCACTTCTACTGACATGGATGACTCAGACTCTGTAGAGTATTCAGAGCTGACCAAGGAGGGGGGGATATGGATGGTGCTGGGGAGCAGTACTGAGGCAATGGAGCTGTATCATAGTGGGTTTTGCCATGATGCTGGATGAGAGGCAGTGCCATCATTGGTGCTGGATGTGATGCAGTAGTGTGGTATGCCGTCTACTTTCTATTTTAAGACATTGTAGATTGTGTCTGGTGCCACCTCAATGAGCCAGTCTTCTGCACTTGGGAGTGAGGTCTGTGCTTCTTGTGGCAGTTAGCTCTTATGGCTGGGGTTAAAGTGCATACTATATTAGAAAGAGTTTGTCTTTGGTTTCTCTCATGCTTGAGTCTGGACTTAACACCCTTAAAAATTCTGCACTTCACTTGTGGCCCTCTCCTGTGCACTTTAGACAAGCAGCATAAGAATCCCCTCTAGGCATAGGCTTGCACCACAAGTCACACTGTTTAGTGCTCCAGCAATGGGAAAACTTTAATGGGGGGAACATCCTAAAGTAAATTTATTAACTACAATGAAACTAACTCAAGTGAGAACTATGTATACAGAAAGCTAAAAATGACTTGAAAACAAGAGATCAGTTGTTCTAACAACCATCACTGGCAGTAAGAAGGAACTGAGCAAGCAGTGGATTTGTAGGGACCTACTTGCACCATTATAAAGGCTCCACTCAAGGGGGCTTCACAACTGACCCAACGGGTATCGCTACAGAAAAATCTTCCAACGATCATGCATACGGTGAATGCACACACACCTATTGGAATGGACATGAGCAGTCATTTGAAGAACATTTAATTAGGGAATTAATGTTCCAATGCTGTAATGAGTTCCACAAGTGCAATCAAACCCTGTGCCTATATAATTGGAGTGATTAGTTATACAGTTCAGAAACCAGAGTTTAATACAACCGTAAACAATGGGTTTATATATATATTATGAATTCATGTAAAACTCTCTATAAATAAATGTAATCAAAATAAATGCTTTCAAACAGAATGTGCAGTAGTTTTTTAATTTTCTTTTTAACAAATAATATTACTGCAGAACATTTTGTATTACAAACATAATGGAACAAAAATATGAAGCTGCAATAAATGGAAGAAACATTTTTAATTAGAATGTATTATTGTATTTCTGGTCTATTAAAAATACTTATTCCATTGACATTTTATATGTTTTCATCCCAACTGTAAAAATACAGTTATAAGTAGCCTCATTTATAGCATGTACAAAATAAATTCTGCTTAGCTTCTTTTTTGCACAATATTATGCAAAGAAAATAATTTGTCTTACAGACACTATCAATTTAAAAATTACACGGCTTTCTGAATATGGTCTTATCTGTTATTATAACAACTGCCTCTTAACAATACTATGACTGAGAAAAAAAACTAGAGAATTTTTGTTTACTTTGTGTACTTAACAGCACTTTTTGGATAATCAGTTTCCCATAGTCTGCTTGAGTCTTTTTACATAGCAACAGGAAAAAGAAAAAACATTTAAAATGAATGTCAAAATGTCACTACAAAAAAAAATCACAAAAATAGAGGCGGTCAGCTGTGCTAATAAACTACTTACTGATATCTTAGAAACTGTTTAGGTTGTAACTCGATGTTGTAAAACTTTGTACAAATACATGTGTAAGAAGCATGCCAGAAACCAACTACCAGTTGGTGAAAAATGTGTTTCACAGCTACTAGTATATCAACAAAAAGCTGCTTTATCAGGCCATTGCACAACTGTGTATGTTAAATTGTTAAATACCCAAACACCTGTTTTACAATCTATACATATGCAGTAAGTCTCCTCCATCTGCCCTCCCTATCTACCACGCTGGAATGGTGTGATTTCCTCTTCATAAAGAAGTTTTTATAAATTCAACAGCTTAGTTTCTGTTGTTAAAACCTCTTTTCAATGTAGACAAAGACTCATTGACCTCTGAAGTATTTCAGTTTGTAGTATTATTTGAATGTAAAGTCTATAGGAGAAGAAAATGATGACTAAAATATACAAGACAACTCAAACTTATGATGACTTTGTTACCCTGAGTGTAATTTTTATGTGAATAAGGGTACACAAAATGGAGTCTGTGAAACTGCCATTTTGTATAAGGGACGTCTTTATCAAGTGTAGCTTTCCGCCAAAAGAGCAGCATTGCACACGATACTCTATGCACTCATCTCAACATCATGTGCACTCGTCATTATAGTACTGCACCCCTCACCAAAGCTGCACTCATCCCTCTAATTCTATGCACACAGCCCTAAATCTTACATTCCACACGTCAATCCCTTTTCTCGCCTCACGGCCAATAAAAGGCCTGGGCTGAGGAGAGTTTGGGTTCCTTTGGTCCCTCTTGTTCTTTGGGTTCCTTAGGTTCCATACCCTTTTTGTTCCTGTCAGATTGAACATCGTTGGATTAATCGTTTGTGGTAAAGCCTTTTGGTTTTGACTTGTGTGCCACCACGTGTGGAATCATCTCACGTACGGGTTTTTGAGCTACAGTCATTACTTTTGGACTTAGACTTTATCAGCCATCACCACCACCCCACTTCCGTACCGGACAGATTTGTTGGCAAGCCATCCATTCCTGTATCCTGGAAGAACCACTACCCAACGATCAAGGATCTTCCGGCAGCCCTCGGCCAGAAGGTGAGGATACTGCGTTGAGGGATCTCCCAGTTGGTCCTCCTTTGAGGCTTAAAATTAGCCAAGAAGCAGTAGGTCACGGGTGCCTATCGCCTGACATTTTGTAACATATCTTTTTGTATTGGGATCTTTTTTTATCTTCTTTATATCTTGGGATAAGGTGGGTTATATTCATTGCTCCTGTTTTTGCTGTTTATATTCTAAAATACATGGTTTGCCCCTAAACTTTGTATTGCCTGATTACTGGATCAGTAGTCCGCCAGTGATAGAGATACGGATTACCAGGCAAGCCTCGCTTTTGATTCAGTGATCAGTTATAACTAGTCAGAGCGATTCTAAATCTATTCTAAATTAACGTTATATCATTCCCTAGGTAACTACTTCCTAAATCATTTTCATACTTGCTAACATTTGAAATCCACAAACAGGGATATTTGAGGAAGAAAAATAGACTTACTCCATTGAAATTCTAGAGGTAACCACTTTTTGTAAAATATAGGGATGTACATTCTAAATTAAGAGTTACTCACCCTGTGCAGTAATGATGGTTCTTCAAGATGTGTCCCCCTGTAGGTGCTCCACTCAGGTCTCGGTGTGTCCTTGAGCTGCTGATCAGAGATTTTTGCCTAGCAGTGCCTTCCCACGCTATGCATGCACAGTCACCATCTCGCACTGTTTTAGTTTATTAGGTGCACATGCGGCGCAAGCCTCCCACTGTTCCTTTTCTACCTGAAGTCTGATGAAGGACTCCAAGTAGAGAGGAGGAAGGGAGGGTAGTGGAGCACCCACAGGAACACATATCTTGAAGAACCATCGTTACTGCACAGGGTAACAACTTTGCCTTTGAGAGGTGTCCCTGTGGGTTCTCCATTCAGGTGACTTAGTAGTAGTACCTGCCATACAGTGAACGGCATTGAAATCATATATGTGAAGAAGCAAGGACTGCATCTTCTAGAATGGTGAAAGATATGGGTCCTTTCTGTAGGGCATAATGTTGTGCAAAAGTATGATAGGAAGACCATGTTGCTGCTCTACAAATGTCCACTAGTGGCACATTATGTAGGAAAACAGTTGATTGGCCATCATGTGTGTAAAGTGTGCCCTAATAATCAGTGGTGGGTCTTTCCACAAAGCTGGTAAGACGTGTATATGCAGTTTTCAATCCACTTGGAAATCCATTGCACAGGGATGGCTGTTCCCTTGTGGGGATCAGACAAAGAGATGAAGAGTCTGTCTGATTTCCTGGTCTCCTTAATTCTAAGTAAAAAGCAAGAGCTAGTCTGGAATCTAGAGTGTGCAACATGAATTCTCTCGGAGAGATGGGAGGTTTAGGAAAGTAAATAGGTAATTATATGGGTTCATTCAGGTGAAAGTCCGATAAAACTTTGGGGAGAAACTTGGGATGAAGCCTGAGCATGACCTTATTCTTAGTAAATAGTAAAGGTAGTATATGGTGGGTGAGCCATGAGGGCTGTGGGTGAAATCATAGCTTTGTCATCAGATGTGCGAAGAGTGAGAGATCAACTGGTTCATTAAAAGCCGTGATAGCAGAGAAATGGATGCGAACTGAGCTGATGGAGAGGCCTGCGTTGCAGAGATCTATCAAGTACTCCAGTACAGTAGGTAGGGGAGTGGCATTTGGTTGTAATTAATGAATCCTACACCACTCCTGAAAGCATTTCCATTTGTGTTGGTAGGTGTATCTTGTGGAGGAACGTCGACTATTTAGTAGGATCTGCTTAACTTTCTCTGAGCAGGTAAATTCTTCATTTTGGAACCATGGAGAAGCCATGCTGTGAATTTCAGGGTTTTGATGTTCAGGTGGTGAGTCTTGTTGGGTTAGCAACTAGGGACTCCTGGGGAGAGGAATTGGTTGAGTTACTGACAGGTGATGTAAGGGAACCAAGCTTGTCTTAGCCTGTAGGGAGAGATCAGAATTACTACAGCACGGTCCAAGTGTATCTTGTTGATTACTCTGGAGTTGATTACTCTGAGTGGGAAAGCATAGAGTAGGGGAGCAGTCCAGTGAATAGTGAAGGCATCTCCCTCCGATCTCTTGCCCTGACTTGCTCGGGAACAGAATCAGTGGCATTTGTGGTTGGTTGCTGTCACAAATAGATAGATCTATGATTGGAAATCCCCATTGTCAGAAAATTGAGAGGAGAACATTGAGACAGAGTTCTCATTTGTGATGTTCAGAGAAGTGTCTACTCATTTTGTCGGCCATGGATTCTGTTGGCCTAGTATGTAGGTGGCAGGTGGGGTTCTTGTGGCACTGGTTCCAAAATATGATTGCCTCTGCACAAAGCTAATGTGATCGCCCCTCCCCCTGTCGATTGATGTAGAAGATAGGTTTGTTGTTCCTGAGTTCCAGAAATGATGCATCAGTTGTGATCACTCCTGATGGGTCTGGACAATGGAAAGGTACACTGACCAGCAGATTGCTTGGAGAGGTCCACTAGTTGAGATTGTAGGACTACTGGTGGGAGTGTACTTTGTGAGGCTGTGTTGGTTGGGAATGTAGATGCTCACAAACCAGGACTGTAGGCAGCTCTTGCGAATAAGATGACGAAGGCTGTGGTTGCCATGTGTCCCAACATTTGAAGACATGTGTGGGCTGTGGTGAAAGGAGTATGTTTGACTCCCCTGATAAGGTCACACAACATTTTGAATAGTTTCAGTGGGAGGTAGGCTTTAGCTGTTACTGTATCTAGGAGTATCTCAATGAATTCTATCTTTTGGGTAGGTTGTAAGGTAGATTTCTGGAGATTTCTAAGGAGGCCCAGTTGGGAGAACCAATCTCTGGTAGTGTTTTTCATGGTTATTGTTTGTTGATGTGTGGGCCCCTTGATTAGGCAGTTGTTGAAGTAGGGAAAAATTCTTGGAAAGTACTCAAGGGGTTGAGACAGACCAAAAGGAAGGACTCAATATTGGTAGTACTCTTGTCTGACCATGAACCTGTGGGCAGGCTATATGGTTATATGAAAATATGCATCTTAAAGGTCGAGGGCTGAGAACCAGTTCTCTTTGTCCTGGTATAATAGTTGCAAGAGTTACCATTTTGAATTTGCTGTTGCGGACAAACTTGTTGAATTCTCTGAGATCTAAAATTGGCCTCCAACTGCCTATTTTCTTGGCAGCTAGTAAATAGTTGGAATAGAACCCTCTTCTTTGATATTCTGTGGGAACTGGTTCTACTGCCCCTAGACTAAGCAACTTTTGTACCTGTGTACCTGTGCTTGTAACAGAGGGGTCCCTGAAGAGGGACAGGGAAGGGTTTTAGTTAGGGGTTATAGACATAAAAGGGATTGCGTAGCCCAATTTGATGATCTCAAGAACCCATTTGTCCATAGTAATAAGGATGCATTGATGGTAAAGGGGTCTCAAATGGTGATGGAAAATTGTCTGGGGATGCACTGGATCTTTGGGGTGGCTACTCAGACCCCCAATCAAAACTTCAAATCTACTTTTTGTTTGAAGTGGGTTAAGTATTGGAGTACTGGTTGTGTTGAGCACTCCTATTGGGGACATTGCTTGGCCTGTTGTCATATGGCCTCTGATGTTGCCTGTGATAGTTCAAGTCTCTTGGTCTTTGGTATGGGGCGTATCTGCATCTTTTATCAGTGTATATGCCTAAAGTACACTACTGGGCCTATGACTTTGAGGACTGATCCCCTAGAGCCGTGGTCCCCAACCCAGTGCCCGCAGGCGCCATGGCGCCCACCGGGCTCTTTACATGCGCCCGCGGAGCAATCTGGGCTGGCAGGTGCCAGCCCTGGGCGCATGGCCGGTCCCGGCCCCGGGGGCGCCGCGCGTACCCTTGCCAGCTCCGGCACCGGCCTTGGCCCCGCCCCTGGGAGCACG